AAAGAGCCTCCCCTTGACGACCGGGCGCCCCTTTTACCTCAGCTTCTTCTCTGCTCGCTTCCCTCCACCTTTTCTGCTGCGCCAAGTACGCCCGCTACGCCACCAGCGTAAGGGAAATGGGGGGGGGAAACACAGAGAAGGCGGGGCGAGTAAGGGAAGGTGTGCGCCTGCGCATCCGTAACCTGGGCTGGCTTTCCTCTCTTTCTTCCCTCAGCCTCTGGAGTGGGCGGGGACTCGACGCGAGGCCCTTCTGTCCAAGGATTGGACAACCAGGAGCAGGAAAAAAAATGGGATGAAGGGGCGGGAAAGGATTCGGGTTGCGATTGGTTCGCTAAGGCTGCGCGGCTCAACGATTGGAAGGGAGAGCCTTCGCTCCACTCGGAAAAGGTCCGCCCTCCGTCTCTGCTTTCTTTACCTCAGAAAATGGGGTCGGGGGGGGGAATTAAGAGTTTAGGAGGATGGGTTGGAGAAAGGAAGATTTGAGGAGGAGGTTAACAATAGCGATAAAGGATAAAGATTGGGGCAGGGGAATCCATATATAAAGGGAAGATTTAAAAAAAGATTTACGTTTTTATTTTTATTTATGAGACCTTTTAGTGTCTCAGTCCCCAACTCTTGGCAGATCTTGATTAAAAGTATATGGAAAAACATTAGAGGTCCCTGTTGGCATAACTGGATGTATGAACTGCTGCTTTTTATGGGTTTTCTGTCAGGCACTCCTGTAACCTTCTAGGCTGAACCTTAGAATAAAAAATAAATAAAAAATAAATAGTGCAGCATCCTGTTCCCTCACAGTAGCCAAGGAGATGCTTTTGAGGAACCCACAGGCAGAGCTTGACGAGCAAAACAACAACAACCCACCCCCAGGGTGGATTAAAATCAATTATTTCTTTAAAATCAAATTGGGATTTAATTTTTTTTAGAAATCATTTTTTAAAAAAGTTTAAGTTGTCAAATCTGATTTTTAAAACTCAAATCAGGATTTAGTTTGTTTTAAATAAAATAACGATTTTTAAAAATCAGATCCGCCTTGAATGGAACAGATTGCCTCCAAAGAGCTCTTTGTTTTTGAAGCAAAAGCTGGGTGATTCTTTTGTGTGGATCAGTTTTCTGCCCTAGCTGGATTGTGGACTGACTTTTCAGAACCTTTCCACCTCAGTGCATTGGGTTAATAGGTTGAGGGGGAAGGATCCATAAGATAACCCAACTCGAACTGGGCACCCTACAGGTGTGGAGTATAACCTTTGGCCCTTGGCTGCTAGTTGAGACTGGAAGGTTTAGTCCAAAATATCTGGAAAATGCCCAGCTCAGCAAGTCTCTAAATGTCTCGATGGGTGGATATGTTAAACAGTGGTTACTAAAATAGGGGTGAGCCTGGCTAGTAAATTGGGTGAGGGGCCACCAGGGAAAACCAAGGATCTTTGGGTATATCTAGGGGGGGAAATCTGCCTTTATAAACCTGGAGAGCCACCAAGATTTCAGAGAAATCCATTAAAAATGCATGTAAAAAGTCAAGGCCAACCAAAAAGAGGAGGGGGCATTAAAAGGTGCCCAGGTTTTTAGATTTTTTTAAAAAATCAGGCAAGATGTTAGAAAAAGAAAAGTAGGAGGGAGGTACAATCTGAAATCCTTATAGTCCGCATGGAGTCTTATGATGTTAGGGACGAAAGCTACGCAGACAGATGCTGGCAGCTAGATTCCCCCCGGAAAAGCCCATAGGCAGGCACTGGAAAGTTAGAAAAGTTTGATCTTCCACCTCAGACGATACAAGACCCCCACAGTAAACTTAAAATGGTTTCCATTCATGAACCCCAGTAGATTCCATGTGGGGGAACTGAGCAGCTCCTGGTCCCACAGCTCCTTGGCAAATAATGTTGAAATAGCATGCCTTGATCTGATCCAACAAGCTGTCATGTTAAGCAAAACTAAAAATGCAGGGTTCACCAAGCACAGGTTAGGCATGCCTTTGGTATTACGATGTCCCAATGAGGCCTTTTGTCCTTTTTTAAAACCCAGAAGACAATGTAGAATCCAGTGAAGCTATCCCCAAGGTTTAAAATATTTTGTCCAACTCCCTTCCCTTCTCGAAAAAAGCTTTTCCTAAACACTTCTCGTGATAACTCAGGCCAACATATCTGCTGCATTTCATTCTTCTTGACTTCTTTCCCTTTGGACTGTCCACATATTTATAGCAACAGGATATAAATGCTGAAATTTTCTGAGGTTATAAATCCTGCCATTCTCACGCATATTTATTCTATGGCATTCAGCAGCAAACATTTTTCTTCTGAGTGTTTGCTTTGTAATTAATTGGATAAGGTGACTGATGTTATAAATAAACAGGCTTGGAAAGATGCCTGGAGAATTGCTGAACACATTGTAATTTAACAACAGCTGTGTTCCAAGAGTTTTTCTACATTTTCGTTGACAAAAGAAAGGCAAATAGAATAGAGGGATTAAGAAGCCTGGCTGGGAGCATTTATTAGCATGAAACTCCTTCATGCTGGGTCACTGAATGCATCTGTATAGGTGATAAATTAGCATTTCAAAGAGGGAGGGCAGGATGAGCCTTCCTTCTGGACCAGCCTAAGATATTTTGCTGCCTAAGGCAAAGAACAAAATGGCACTCCTCCTTCCCATCTTCATGATCAGAAGTTGGAAAAACTGCCAGTTGAATATATAATATTGCTTCCAAGACATTGTTTCCCCCCACACCTAAAGCAGCACATTAGTTGAGCTCTTCACTGATAAAGGAACCAGGCTGTGTGGCAATATTCAGCAGTGTCCTATAACAACAGGGAAATGCTAGTATCAGTGCTGGTAGGACTACTCTAAGAAACCACAAGGAGCTGTGGGCTGAAATGGTTGCCCCACTTTACCTAATGGTAGAGCCAGCCCTGTGTTTTAACAACACTGCAATCCTATGCATGTGTGTTTTGAATCCTGCAAACTCTAGATGTACCTATACATCAAGAGCAGACAATTTGTGGCTCTCCAGATATTGGACTGCAGCTCCCAGTACAGCCAGCTGTAAAGGATGATGGAGCAGGCAACAAGATCTGGGGACCCCACCTCAGTTTACCCCCTTGAAGGACAAAATAGGAAGCAAGCAGGCTGCTTATACTAGCAAGCAGCTAATTTGCAGGGAAGCACAAGCCAGGAATCTTGGCTGATCATTCTGTGTGAATGGGAATCCCTGAGAGAGCAACAGCATAAATCACAAAGTTTATTTTGAGATAAAGAAATTTCCCCCTTAGTCAGTGGGGAGGATGATAAACCACCCTGGGCAGGCTGTGAAGAGAAAGGACCTCAGTCTAATCAGGAAGCGCTGAGCTCCCCTGCATTAGTCTTATCTCAGAGCTCATTATTGCAAGATATGATGATGGCCAGAGGCTTATATGCCTCAAAAATAGATCAGACAAATTGCTGGAGAATTACTTCTGGGCATGCTAGCTAAAAATAGAACCATCATGTTCTGAGGAAGTACGCCTTTAGCTTCCAGGTCCCGGTCACATTTGGGATAGATTGTCAGGAGTTTCGAAGGGTGTGTGAGTGTGTGCAGTTATCCAAGCGCAGGTTACCCCAAGATTAAGGTAGCCCTGTCCCTTCATAGCTTTCTGTGTCTCCTTTTTAAACCTCCCTCACCATAATCTTCCTCTGTTGCAGGTTGTAAAAAAAAAAGTCCCTGTAAACTCTGCTGGATTCAGGACCCAAATGCAGAGACGCCCCCTATCCTTTTCCAGGAAAGCAGTTCTGATTGCTAAGACACCAACTGGCCATTCTAACCTATTAACTGGTCATCTGCCTAACAAAGGAAGTTTGGCTGAGGGCCATAAAATCTAATTGCTCTTAATTGGCTTCCCTCAGGCTGTGTTTCTCTTAGTCCAGCAAGACAGGGAAGGCTTTTAGGTTTTACTAGGAAATTGATCACCCTGGCAGCTAAACGCGGGACTCCTTGTCTGTCAGGAAGGCGCCTTTCTTGAGCCAGCTTCTCTGCTTGGGTCCGGCTCTCAAAGGCCAAGGAGCCAGGCTTCCACCCCGACCCGACCACAATGCTGTGCCCCCAAGCCTGGAAAGGTGAAGTCTTTTGCCCAGAGCCACGGAGAAGCATCCACAAGGCCTTGATTCCCACAAATACTGCAGGGGCCCCCACTTAAAATCCGACTTGAATTGGCTGGCTAACCTTTGAGGCTCACTCTCTTAACTTTACCTCCCAGAGTAAAACAGAGTGAAGTAAGAATCGTGTAGGGCCCCTTGAGCTCTTCAGAGGAGAGGGAAATAAACCCATGGAATAATTTCTTAAAAGATTAATTTGCTACCACAATGCCTTAATCCCACGCCTCCCCTTTTTCATCTAACCTGCTCACTCTTGTCACAGGCCCCCATTCCCTTTTTCGGTAATTTGGCCTGCCAGTCTTCCCAGATGACATCAACAGCCTGCTGTCTACAACGCTGAAGAACTGGTGGGACAAAAGGAAGATTGGAAAGCCACCCCCTTCGAATTTTGTTACAAGAATGTCTTAAAAAGTGTCATCATCCCTTCATAATTCACACAGGGACTGGGATCCTGTGTGAAGGAATATGAATGACTCTATCCCCATTAGGTGGATTATCCTGTGATAAAGAATGACTCTAAGCTTCTCTTTTCTCAGCTTAAGTTAATAGCAGGCTGTGATCAGCTTGCATTTTCTGCATTAGCTTTTTTCAACCATGGCACAAGTGGGGGCTGCAACACCGAGGGGTGCAGGGCAAGGTTCTCCTTCCTCCTCACTTGCCTGCCCTTCAGCCCCCTTTCCAGGGCGCTGCACCCCTTTATCCCCTAACGGCGTTTCATACCCCTCGTACCCTGAGAGTCAGCTAGCATTCTCTAGCCATTGAACCTACTCCTTTCCCACTGGGCTGTTGGAGGGACCCTCGCCGATGCAGCAAATTGTGAGGGATGAGAGGAGCTGTCATTCAACAGCACACTTTCCTGGTCCCTGGCTTAACCTCCTGCCATTTCTAAAGCAACAGGAAAGGATTGAACAGGTCTGAAGCAGGAGTCGGGGTTTAGCCAAATCTGAAAACTGGTTCATAACCCTAACCTGCTTGCTCTTACTTCATCCTTCAAGCGTGTAAACTGGGATGGGCTCTTCAGATGTTTTTGCGTGCAGCCTTCATCCTTCACAGCGACAGGACAGATGATGGAAGCTGTACTCCAGCACCGCGACTTCAATTTCCTCAAGCAGGCCTTTCCCCGAGACGGCTATTGGACTTGAGCTGGTTGCCGCTGAGCCAGAGTGGGTGGGGAAAAGCCTACAAGGCCCACTGTGCGCTTTGAAAAACTCTTTACGTTTCCCACATACTGTCACTCCACATTAAATCATGAATGAAACAACCAGCGGCGCAAACTAGCACTGAATATCATTGGCTCTGCCACTGCGACAGTCAGCCTCCCCATGGATTACAATGCATAATTTATTCAGTAGTGCTGTCCAAAATTGAATGAGAACCTGCTTTTTTTTTTTTTGAAAGAACCTTTATTTTATCCTACTTTGAAAGAACAGTGGGAAGTTTTCCCTTTTTTTTTTGAAGACACGCTGGACACATGGCGCCCCCTGCAGGCCAAAACACTCCCAACAAAATCAGCTAGACAGGTCAGATCCTTAATCTACCGAGCATGGTGTTACTGTACCTCCAAAGGAGAGCTTCTCCAGGATCTGAAAGAGAGGAAAGGCTTTCCTATCGCCTTCCACCTGAAGTTTTTTACTGAAGATGCCTGGGATTCGGGATCCAAATGGGAGCTCCAATAGGTAAAACCTACGCTCTACTGCAGAGGGGGGTGTCTCCTTTTTACTCCCTCTGCTCGGACTGGGAGCCTTCAATGGCCCTTCTCTGGGCCGGTACCCTCCAGATGGGTCCCATTACAGCTCTATCGCCCAAAAAACACATTGGGTGGGATGAACGGAGGCTGGAGTCCAACAGATCTAGCGGCAGCTGGATCAGGGAAGGTGGCTTATCAGCCACGAGACCAGCCAGCAGTCCAGTTCATCACCAGTCAGGGTGGTGAGATGCCAAGCCCCGGGTGAAGGACTCCTTAAAACTGAACATTGTGGGAAGCATTTTGGTAGTTGACTCAAGACTCTCACTGTTCTAAGAACAAACTAACGAAAGCGAAAGATTCAAGGAAATGGCCGTTCTTTACACAATAAGGGGTATGTACGTGAAAAAGCTTTCTATATGAAAGCTTTCCTCACACAATTCTTTCTTCTTCTTCTTCTTCTTTCCTTTATATGAAAGCTTTTCTCACACAATTCTTTCTTCTTCTTCTTTTAATTCAAGGGCTAAACTATGAATTTGTCTTGTACCACCAAAAGGGCAAGATCAACCAAACATTGATACATTTGACCAATTAGAGAGGGAAAGAGACTAGAAATAACTCCGAAGAGGAGCCTGCCGTCTAGAGGCAGACATTAAATTCAGTTCGCCCACACTGGCAGTTGATACATTTGACCAATTAAAAAGAGAGGGAAAGAGACTAGAAATAACCCCGAAGAGGGGCCTGCCGTCTAGAGGCCGACATTAAATTCAGTTCGCCCACACTGGCAAGTAGGGGTGGAAAATACCCCGTAGCACCTTTTCTCAACCAAGTCTATCGTCAGAAGGCTTTGCTTCCACCAAGTCTGTATGAATTCACTGAATGATGGCGTCTTGTCCGTTTTGGGCCACCTGGTTTGGGTCTGCCGCCACTGAAGGAGCAGGGGTGTTGCTCTGCAGAAAACGGCGGATGTCCTTAATCATGGGGCGGAGGATCTGAATGAGGGCGTTGAGAGCGGCCTGAGTCCCTTCCATGGCCTGGGCCTGGCGCTCTTGGGCGCAGGCCTGCACTTCCTGAGAACGGCGGATCATTTGCAGCAAGTCATTCTGCTGCTCCAGGTGCTGCGCGATCTCCTTCACATGCAGGTTCGTCACCCGCTGCTCCTGCAGAAGTTTGGCCGAGTTCAGGGCGATTCTGCTCTTGAGCTCCTGAGGCTTCACGGAGACTTCTGCCTGCTGACCCATCATCTCCAGGGGGGCACCAGCGGGGACCGATCCCGGGGTTTCCGTCGTGCAGTATTCCACTACGCCATCCTCCAGACTATGGTATGTTGTCTCTGCTGGAACTAGGAGAGGAGGAGGAGGAAAAAAAGAAAACAGTTGGGTTTCCTTTCATGTGTATGTTTCAGGAGTAAGAATCAGGTTATTTATGCCCTTACAGCGGTGCCTCGCTTAGCGATCGCTCCGTTGAGCGATGAGGTTTTGGCCATTGCCAGAGTGATCGCTTAGCGATGGCCCCTATGGGGAAAAATCGCTTTGCAATGATTGCAGGGAAACGATCATGGCAAAGCGACCCTTTTTGCACAGCTGATCGCGGTTCCAAAATGGCCGCCGGAAAAACAAAATGGCCGCCCGTTGTTTTGCCTTGCTTTAGAGGCACCAAAAATGGCCGCCCCTATGGAGGATCTTCGCATAAGGTCAGTTTTCAAGCCCATAGGAACGCATTAAACACGTTTTAATGCATTTCTATGGGCTTTTTAAAATCGCTTAGCAATTAAATCGCTTTGCAACGTTTTTCCTGGAACGGATTAAAGTCGCTAAGCGAGGCACTACTTTATTTTGAACGAAATAAATAGGGAAGACACAGATAGTACTGTGCTGCGTTTACAGGATCTACCCCCAGGCGGCCGAAGCGTGATTTTGTCATCTGAAGTGACTTCCAGTCTCCCCCACAGCTGCACCCCAGAAAATCTTGGCTGGAAGGAAGTTGAGAGCTGGAGGGGAGGAAGTAACAACTGCTTTCATGCAGTGTTGTGTGAGAGATCTGTTTGGTGATCTCTCGAGAATATGGTTGCCGAGCCAAATCTGTTATGCTGTCAGAACTGTCATATCTGGCTACGGAGCCAGAGGTTGGGCATTTGATTCCGCCACTGGGCCTCCTTGACGGGGGCTGGAGTCAATGACCCTCAATGACTCCCTTCCAGCTCCACAGTTCTTTGATGATGATGATTTCAACCTGATACTAAAAGAGCCTATAGTATAAGATTTATGCCTAGGACTCTGGGTTTCCTAGGTAGGCAGAGGGTTGATTGGGTTCTCCAGTTACTCTACAATAGAAACAAGAGCTTCTCGGTTGCAAGAATTTCGGCTGTTACCCTAACATATGTCAAAAGAGTTGGGCCTGGCTAGGGAGACAAGAGGTACCTTTGTATACAAAAGGATGAGTGGTTCCAGTCACGAGACAGATTTAAAAGGTTCCCCCTGACAATTTGTCCAGCTGTGTCCGACTCTAGGTGGCGGTGCTCATCTCCGTTTCCAATCCACAGAGCTAGCGTTTGTCTGAAGACAATATTCTATGGTCACGTGGCCAGCGCGACTAGACACAGAATGCCGTTTACCTTCCCACCGAGGCGGTACCTATTTATCTACTTGCATTTTTGCATGCTTTTGAACCGCTAGGTTTGTGGGAGCCGGGACGGGAGCTCACTCCATCACGAGGATTTGATCTTACGACTGCAGGTCTTCTGGCCTTGCAGCACAGAGGCTTCAGCTCCTGCCAACTTAGAGGTTCAAAAGCATGCAAAATGCAAAAATGCGAGTAGATAAATAGGTACCACCTCGGTGGGAAGGTAAACGGCATTTCGTGTCTAGTGGCACTGGCCACATGACCACGGAGGATTGTCTGTGGACAAATGCTAGCTTTATGGGCTGAAAATGGAGATAAGCACTGCCGCCTAGAGTTGGACACAACTGGACAAATTGTCAAGGGGAACCTTTGCCTTTATGCCTCTAGACCCCTTGTTCTATGTCTGCCTTCGCAAACAGCTATTTCGTGCCATCAGGTAGACATCAGGACACTAGCAAAAGACAAAGTTGATCCTGCAAGCCAAAGGTCTATGCATTCCGTGCTTTCCAATGCAACGATTTCAGCGAGAGGAAGAGGAGAGGGAGCAACGTGGTGTTACTGGCCGAGGAGGATGATGATTTAGTTTTCCAAAGTCAAGCTTTGTGCTCTTGGAGGGCCTCAGCCATCCAGCATCTGTCAACTCACCATCTTAGTCTGAGAGGAAGAGGAGAGGGAGCAACATGGTGTTACTGGCCGAGGAGGAGGAGGATGATTTAGTTTTCTGAAGTCAAGCTTTATGCTCTTGGATGGCCTCAGCCGTCCAGCATCTGTCAACTCACCATCTTAGTCTCTTACGCCGGAGTGTGCTGAACGCAGCACCAGTTTGATCAAGGCAGAACCTTGAGAAAGGAAAAGCAACGGGGAAACAATTCCTTTCACAAGATGGGAACTGGTTGGGTGCAAAAGCTAGGCGTTGATGCTTTGGCAAGGATCGCTACAGGCATGACTCATGGGAAATATGTTGCAAGGATGTGGAAGCTTTCCATTTTGCTTTGTCCTGACCAGGATGGTTTTTTAAAGAGCAGAATGGTTAGAAAAGGCAAATGGCAGAACCTAATTATTTATTATCATTGAAGGTCTCTCCCCCCCCCAATGTTCACTCCAATTTCTGATTTGTTCTGCCGGTGCTGTGTGTGTGTGGGGGTACATCTTCCCTTCATTTTGCCCTTTCCCCACCCTTCTCCTTCTCCCCGGCCTTCTTACTCAATTATGGGTGTAACAGGGAGCAGGAGAAATGCCATACGAACAAGGAAAGTAGCTGGATGGGAACGCCCTTGTCTTAGACAACAAGGAGCAGGGAAAGAGAACTGCCAGTTGCCCCACTGTTCAACCTGCACACTTCTGAGCAGAGATGAGCCCCCCCCCCATGTTAAAAGATCCCTGCAGAGCAATCTGGGAGTTATGCAAGCAAGTGAGAAAAGTCATGCACTGTGTGAGGCAATGTGACACACCCTATATCCCCAACAAATCTCAGCTGTGAAATCAACAAGTCCCTGGATTCAAGTGTCACTATCAGTCATATATATATGTGCGTATCTGTCTTTCTAAGAGCACAAATGACAAAACTGAGGGTGTCCTACTCCAGGCACACCGTGAGAAGGCAAGATTAACTAGAAAAGACAAGAATGCAGAGAAGAGCTGAAGGCAGCAGGAAAAGAGAAAGACCAAATATGAGAGAGGTTGGGTCAGTAAAGGAAGCCATCATCCTGAGTTTAAAGAGCTGAGCAGAGCTGTTAATGAATGACATTCTGGAGGTTACTGCTTCATAGGGTGGCCGAAAGTCAGAACTGGCTTGATAGCATACCATAACCATCTCTCTCTCTCTGGTGTTTGTGTGTGAAAGGATGGCAGCTTGGTATGTGAGTAGACGCCACCCGAGGCCCTGCCCATTGTGAGCTCTGGCCCCGAGACCCCCTTCCCCCTCACATGGCCTCTGATCTATATACTTTTCATGGAGGCCAAAGGTTGCAAATCAGTTGTCTTATTTTTAGACCTCGAATAAACCCACTGCAACGTAAGCATTCCATGCATCTGACAAAGAGGGCTCCAACTCCCACCGCCGTGACATTGAGTCTTTAAAGCACAGCTAGACTTGGTTTAGGTTTTAATGTGTTGAAAAAGTTGCCTCACCATTTTAAACAAACAAAGCAGCTAGAGGTCTCTCACATTTCATAATCTTTCAGCCTAAGAGGCTTGCCCCTTTCCCCCCCACGGCTTCTGTGTGCCTGTATCTTCCCGGTCCAAGATAACGCTGCATCCTTGCACAGAGTTGCCTTTTTTGGTCTGGCAAAGGAAGCTCTCATCAAGGTGAGCGTTCTAGAAATGGCAACAAGCGTCGTGCATGCTGCGGGGAAGGAAGGGATGCCATACTTACTCTGAGTCAGGGTGACGGCTGTGGCTGCGGCTGTGATTGGTATTTCCGACCCATCCGCGCCAGAGCAGTCTCCGGCGGGCAAGCTGATAATAGTGGCTTCTCCCAAAAGGTTACAAATGCGCTGCTGCATAGGGGTGAGTATCACGGGGGCAGTTGCAGCACCGGTTGGATCTTCACCGTCGTGGCCCTCGCTGCTCTCATCGTGGCCCTCGCTGCTTCCTTCCATGGCAACTCGGACCTGTGCCACCTTACGCCGCACTTCCGTCTTGAGATCAGACCATTTTTTCTTGACTTCAGGCAGCTCCCGCCGGCAGGTAGACACGGCGTTGACACGGTGGAGGATATTGTGCCATGCCGCCGCTTTGGCCGACAGTGGCACGCCGGCGTTGAAATGGTTGATGAGGAGGTGCTTGCTCCGCTCCAGTTCCTCCACAATGATCTCCACTTCTCTGTCTGAGAAATTCATTTTCCGCTTTTTAGCTGGTGGCCCTGCAGGAGATGACATTGCCATGGGGTGTTGGAAGCCCAAGCCAAGCTGGGCGTTGGACGTTTGGGACGAAGACCCCAAACAAAACAGGATGGACAGGGAAAGGGAGGGTGTTGAGCTGAACAGCAACACCACGACGCAGCTTTGGAAGAAGTCACCAAACTTTAGAAACGGTTGCAGATACAATTATCATTGTTGACCAAGTTAGGGGACCTGTGAAGAAAAGTATAATAAGCAGGTAAGATGAAGAGTTTGCCCAAAAACGTTGAGAAAAGCCAAGACACAGCAACAATAGCCTCAACAGCAACAATAGCCTCAACAGCAACACAGCAACAATAACCTCAATAGCAACAAAAACAAGAGTATTTGTAAAGAACTCTAGGCTCCAAAGTGTGGGCAGAAAGATTTTATGAGAGTTTGGTAAACTGTGTGCAAAAATTGGTTGTTAACCTTTATAATGAGGGTATTTGTAAAGAACTCTATGCTCCAAGAAAGATTTTATGAGAGTTCAGTAAACTGTGAGCAAAAATTGGTTGTTAACCTTTATAATGACCATTCTTTCAGGATTTCTTTCCAACAGTTTGGGGCTAATAGCCGATTCGAAATAGAGAGCCACTTGGAGAACTGGGAGTACTTATGCAGAAAAGCATAGAAAGGTGGGTAGTTGGAATGGAAAAAACATCTCCAAGGGGTTATGGAGGGGGAAAACGAGGGTACAGCATAATGTACAGGTGGGAAAGGAACCTAGAACTCTACAGAATGACAGATTTTGGAGATCAAGACAGGAGTAAATGATACAAGAGATGCAGATTGGGTGTCAGATAACCATAAAAAACCCAGAGGCTGATGCAGTCATATCAATAGTCACCCGAAACTAAATTTCATTAAACATATTTGGACTTGCACCTCAGTAAACTACTTAGTAGCTTCCTGTATATCTGTGCCTATTTCCCTGGGAACACCAATAATCACCACCAATAAATTTTGTTGCATTTACTTCTGAGGGGTGTTTGGGATGGAGCACCAAAGCTCCATCATCTTTAAAGACCCAAACAAGATGAGTAAGAGAATACCAAAAGATATTCCCATTCTTTTTTTTAAAGCACCAGTCTAAAGGAAATGCAAAAGGAAATGGAGGGATAAAAATGTAAAAAAAAAACAACAACAACACACCAGTCTAAAGGAAATGCAAAAGGAAATGGAGGGATAAAAATGCAAAAATATAAACTAGTCAAGTTTATTGTATTAGCTAAAAGCCGTCACAAAAATATAGTTAATTAAAAATGTGTGTTTAGTTGCACTGGGAGGGATTACATAATTGCTACAGGGGTAAGGGGAGAATAAGCAATCTTTCAAGTTTTATTTTCAGTATGGCTGGCTGGATAGTTCCGGATGTTTAGGTATCTGGATGCAGAACCAGAGGTCAAGAGTTTGATTCCCCACTGGGCCTCCAGAGAGAAGAGCCAGCCTGGGTGGCCTTGGGCAAGCTGCACAGTCCCAAGACACCCTCAGAAGGAGTGCTAGATCTGAGTACTCCCTACCTTGAAAACCCTGAAAGAGTGCTAGATCCGAGTACTCCCTACCTTGAAAACCCTGAAAACGGTTGCCATAAGTCAGAATTGACTAGATGGCACATGCACATACATCATACTGGAGGAAAAAGGAAAGTTTTAGTCTGATACTTGGGTGGAACAGATTTGAATTACTAAGCAGCCATCCATTTAAATAGACATGCCATGGATGGCGGCTGAGCCGAGCTATTTACAGGAAAGATATAGAAAATGGATGTGTTATTGTCAATAATAAATATATACATAAATTTATGAGGAAGAAAAGGATGAAAGCAATGAAATGTGGCTTCGGTGTCTAAGAGAATGAAGGAACTGAATCAATGTCAGTTCCAGCCTAATTCTTAAGTGGGTCAAAGTAAACTTCCTCAATTCTGATGATGCATCTGACAGAAAGAAATAACCACCAAAGAAATTTAGATGTCGTTCACTTTAATTTTTGGTGGGCGGGTGGGCGTTGTTTTCAATATTATTTCTGAAAAAAAATAATAATTATAATTAATGGCATAATAGATAGGTTTCATTCGAATGTTAGTGGGGCACTGCTTTTTAATATTATTTCTGAGAGGGCCATCAAAAGGGGCACACAGATCATTTCTGAGAAGGAAGTACAGTATAATTGAAAACTACTAATTCATGGCATAATTAATGGATATATTTCAGCATCGTTTCTGGTGGGTGGGTGGGTTAACTTTTAATGTTATTTTTGAAACGGTAATTAAAAGTATATATATATGTGCGTATATGTATACATATAAATTATGCACACACATATATATGTGCGAATATTTAGATAATTTCTGAGACAAGGGAAAAAAATTAAGAAATAATCCTTGGAAAAGGTGACAGGAAAAATGGGGCAGCAATCATGGGACGGAGGGCTCAAGGTTTTGGGGCCTAGAAGAAAAGGGGGGGCCGGCTATGCACCCCGAGGACGAAACCCCCACCCCTTCTCTCCCCCCCCAAACCCCTCAGGGGCCCCCCAAGAAGCCTTCCAGGGCCCGACGGCCTCCCCCTCCTCTCCCTGAAGACGAAGAAAGATACGCAAATTGCGTACCCCTGCTCCCAGGCGAAGCCCTCATCAAAGAAAGCTTCTAGTTTGCGGCAGTGGCGTAATGGCTTCCAGAATCAGTACCTTCTCTTTTTCCCCTTCATTGGGCTGCGCTCCTGCCTATCAGGTGGCCCCGTCCGTCCTTTCATAGGAGGGCGACGCGCCGCTCTGATTGGTTCGCTTGGGCTTTCTCCCAGCCGATTGGCCGCCACCGATTGCCTAACTTTTTTTTTTCCCTCCCCCGCCTGCCCGCCTCATGGCACAGATGCGAATTGGGGAACGGACTTGTCCATCAAGCCTCCGCTTTATACTTCCCTCCTCCTTTGGACTGTCAAAAGTCTCACGGCTTGGGGCGTGGACTTGTTTCCCCTTACTCCTATTGGGTCGTTTTTTTCCCCAACCAATAGCGAACCTTTGTCTATTTCGACGGGGCAGTTTGGTCCAATCGCCGCACCCGCCCAAACTTTCTTCTTGTTTTTCATTGGCTGAGCGGCTTGGCCGTTCTGTACGTAAACGGGTGCCTTCTTTTTAAAGCACGGGGCGGCCTACGAAGAGGCAGGCCGGAGGAAGAGGAAAGTCACGTGCTGTATGACCTCAGCGCTTCCGTTCTGCGGCACCACCACCCCTCCCTTTGCCTCGTGAGAACCTTCCCTTCTATTCTCTCCCCTCCCCTTGGCCTGGGTTGGCCAGGAGCGGCCGCCCGTCACGCGCAGGCGTCCCCCCTGAGTGGCGAACTCCGGGAAAGGGGGCGTGTCTCTCGCTCCCTCGCTGGGCCAATCCTCGGGCGGCGCGCGCAGGCCGGGTGGGCGGTTGGTTTCGGGCTGAGGTAAAATTTTTAAAGAAACCTGAGCGAGCGAACGAGGCGCCGCCATTGACCGGCGAGTTGGGGCGCCTTTCCTTTTTAAAGAAACCCGAGCGAGGCGCCGCCGCCATTGACCGGCGAGTTGGGGCGCCTTTCCTGAAGGGAGCTCTGAGGGGAACGCCGGCTTTCCCGCCTTCTTTCCTCCCTTCCTCCCTCAGGCGGGGATGCCGGGCGGCGCTCGGCGCTCGCTGGCTTCCCCCGTGGTGAGCGGCGTCCTCTGCCAGTGCGGCGGCCCTGTTGCCACGACGGCGCCTTGGCCTCCGCCGGCGCCTGAGGCGGGCCCTTCTTCTTCTTCTTCGCCGCCCCTGGTGGACCCCGAGCGGCGGCTCCGGAGCCTCTTCGTCCAGCTCGACGTGAACCGCGACGGCGCCCTCTGCGTCCACGACCTGGCCGTCGGCCTCCAGCGCCTCGGGCTCTACCGCTCCGAGAGGGACCTGCGGGTCAGTCAGTCAGTCAGTGGGCCGCGTGGGTGGGTGGGTGAACGAGGGCTGAGGTAAAATTTCTCTTTCCCTTTCTCTCTCTCTCTCAACCCCGGCACCGGCTGCTCGCTCATGCCTGATTTTAACGGATCGGCGGGGG